CCCGTCCATCACCATTGTCCCTTGTGTTCTTCCTCTCCCTCTCCCTCCCCTGCTGTGTGTCTCAGATCTATAATTTGCCTGCAAGTTTTGTCTTTTTTTTAACCCCAACCCTTTGTTTGGTTCCCCTATATTCTTCCTATAAGTGAAATCATCTAATAATCCTCTTTTTCCATCTGACTTATTTGAGCATAATCTGAAGGGTTTCTTTTTGTGAGAATGACAACAATCCAAAACTAGACAGTGGGCATAATTGTCCAGTTCTGTGAATAAGCTAAAACCACTGCGTTATATACTTTAAGTAGGTGAATTTCATGGTATGTGAATTGAATCTCGTTAAAGATATTTCTAAGTATCTTAGAAAACATTCTACGCACATCCACATTTGGCCTGTTCCAACCTAATGCAATACATGAATTGGGGTCTTATTACCATAAGTGAAGAACTCTTCTGGGAACTGAATATGAATTGTTTCCTTTAATCCTTTAAAGATCTGTCAACTATAGATTCTATTATTATTCCCATTTGCAGGTGAACCAAGGTTTGGATAAGTTAAATTAATGACCCACAGTGACAGCAAATCGCTGGCAGAGCCATGTATTAGCCCTCGGGTTCCAGAACCCAGAATCCAGCACAGGGCCAGGCCCATCCCTCTGCTCAGCAGTCACTTTTTCTGTTTTTTAAAGATTTATTTATTTATGCATACAAGAGCTGGGTGTAGGCCAAGGTGCAGGGGTGAGAGGATTCACCAGAGACAGAATGGGGAGCAGAACAGGCAGATGTACTAAAATACACTGCTGAAGGGAGCAGCGGTGAGACAGGAGAGGTCTGCTGTGCCATGTGGGTCACCTCCCTGGGCAACCAGGGAATCGAACTCATGCTGCAGTGACTGTCAATAGCATGATAGCGCTGTCTTTAACCCCTGTGCCACCAGGGAGGCCCAGCAATCACTTTTTGAGGTTTGCAGGTATAGGGGTTGGGGGTCAACAGCACAAAGATGAAATACTTGGGACTCACAGAAGCTCAGAGCCTGAGAGGAGGCAGATGTTGGTGCAGGAGGTACTGAAGCTGCGCTGTGGTGAGCGCTGAGTGGGAAGGATGGATGGACTGAGGCCAGTCCACTGATGGGTGTCCCCCTATGATGCACAAATGAATACAGCACTTACATCAGATTGCTCCTCCACTGCTTCATGCCAACTCAACTCATCTACCCCTAGATTGGTTCTCTCCTGAATAGTCAACCCGCCAGTCAGTTCTACCCATTCTACCTCCAGGCTGTATTTCTACTCTGTCTCTCTGATCCCAGCGTCCCGCCCTAGGGTAAGCCTCCTTCACATCTCCCCTGACTATTGATGGGCCCACTCACCATGTCCCAACTCCTACACTCATCTCCACATGAAACACTCTGCACACATCCACTGAGGAGTTCCACAGAGCGGGGAGTGGCCGGACCGTTCCACAGGCATAATGGAAGGGCATGAGCCTGGGTGGTGTTAGAGAGGCGATATGAGTAGTGGGAGGGTTTTGTTGTGTGTTGACACTCCAGTGGGGAGGGTGCATGTGTACGGACAGTGAGGTGGCACAGGCATGGACTCTGTGCACAGAGGATATGCAGGTATGAGCCATTGTGACTGCATCTGTTGCAGAATAAATTCTAGCCTTTTCGCCAGGCAGGGAAAGAACAAGCAATACTTTCAGAATGGTGAGGCCAGGAAAGCTTTATTACTCATGCATGAGGTCTCAGACCTGGGTAGTCCCATAAGGTCTGAGCACCTGTCTAGAGACAAAAGAGTTATGTAAGCACTGGGTACAGTCAGAAGCACAGGAGGGTGAGAGAATTCCCCAGAGCCAGAGCTGGGAGCAGAACAGGCAGAAGGACCAAAGTACACTGCTGAGGGGAGCAGCGGGCGGCAGGAGAAGTCTGCACGCCATGTGGGACCCTCGCTGGTGCCCGGGGATTGAACTGGCACTGCAGAGGCTGTGGGCAGCTTCGCAGCCCAGCGTTCAACTGCTGCGCCACCAGAGGAGGCCCAAGACATTTATACACAGCTACTTTACATTGATAAAGTTGGTTAGTTAGCATACAAATTCTTGACACAGGAAAAGGGGAAGGATACAGATCTTCCAGGATGGCCTGGGAGATCAATCAGCCTAGCAGGCTGCTAGACCTTGTTTAGATATGCTTATTAAGGAAGCAAATTTATTATTTACTTTATATTTCCAGGTCTAAGACTCTTTAACAGGGAAAGATTTCTTTTTCTCAGCAGTTCCCTTTCACATCTACAAAGGCATGATCCCCTGTGTGATCACTTGATTAAGGTCCCACTTTCCCTGCTGCAGATTGTAGCAGGTAGGAGTGTGGTAGTGGGGTGTGAGGCAGGAAGTGAGAAATATCTCAAGTGCCTGAGGCGCCTGCTGTTGGGAGCATCTACACAGGGTGAAGAGAGCACAGAGATGGGCCATCCAGAGATGACTAAGAGAACTGGGAACCTGGGGGGAAACTAAATGTTGTGTAAGAATATGCTTGGCCTTTGTCCCTGGCTTCTGGGTGGAAGCCTTTTAATCCCTGGAATTTTTCAGAAGATAGGAGTGTCTTTGTTATGCACCCTGGGCCCTGTGTTTATACTAAGCAGGTGACTCATGGTGGAGCCAGAGGTAGTTTCAGGATAGGCTTGGTCTTGTCTAAAAATCAACCATGCGATAAGGGGTTGGGGAGACTTTGAGATAGAGAGAGGAGCTGGGCCCAGCCGTCACATGATCTATGGCCTAATCAATCACACCTGTATTAATGAAACCCCAAGAAAAGTTCCAGACACTGAAACTTGAGTGACCTTCCTGGTGGATCATATACCTCCATGTGGAGGAGGGTGACACGTCCTGACCCCAGGAGTGAGGACTTGGTGAGCTTCATGTCTGGGACACTCCCAGTCCTGGCCTCTTCTTTTGGCTGGTCCTGGTTTTAATACAGTAATAAAATAGCTAGCCAGGGCCTCGCCGGTGGCGCAGTGGTGCTGAGCTGGGTTGAGAAGCTGCCCGCAGCCTCTGCTGCGCTGGTTCGATCCCCAGCTGCTCCCCGGCCACCGGAGGAGGGTCCCACATGGCGCGCAGACCTCTCCTGCCGCCCGCTGCTCCCCTCAGCAGTGTACTTCGGTCCTTCTGCCTGCTCTGCTCCCCGCTCTGGTTCTGGTGAATTCTCTCACCCTCCCGCGCTTCTGACTGTACCCAGTGTAGTATAAATAAATAAATCTTTAAAAAAAAAAAAAAAAAAAGTGCTACTTTAAAAAAAATAAATAAAATAGCTAGCCATGTAACACTTTCCTGAGTTCTAAGAGTTGTTCTAGTGAATTATTGAGCCTGAAGGGCAATGGGAATTTATAGCTGGTCTGTGATGGGGTTCAGGACACTCTACCCCAAAATATGGCACATTGGCATAATGAATACTTGAAACCGAGGAAGTCTGAGGAAATGGCAGAAGCAGGAATGTCATTCTAACTTCCCTCTTTGTCCCCTGAAAGCCATAAAGTCCTCAGGTGAGAGGTGCACTTTCTACCCCCAGGAAAGGAGCACCTTCATTTTCAAAGCCACAGGTATGTCAAGAAGAATCTGGACAAACAAGCCTCATGAGGCCCCCACTCCACCACCTCCCGTGTGTCACACTCAGCTCGCACTCTCACCCTGCCCTGGTCCTCCGTGGCTGTGCACACATCAGACCCGGCCAAGCACACAGGTCTAAGTTCCTTTGGGTTTTGTTTCTTTATGAAGGCCCCTGGGTCACGTCAAACTTGTATTAAACAAATGTGCACTCTTCCTCTTAATCTGCCTGTTTTTTTAGCCCCAGGCAGGAAACCTAAGAGGGTGGAGGAAAATGCTTCTTCCCTACATTGGTGAGAAGCATGGGTGCTCTGGGATTCCTGAGATTTATCTGTTGGGGTCTGGAGCAGAATCCCACAGGGTGAGATGGGTGTGCCCCTAACCTGAGGACTCTGGTGGGAATTAGTAGGTGGTGTGTGAGACCATTTCTAAGTTGCTCTGTGCCTCCCCTCCAGATCTAGCCCATCCTAGTTGAAAGTAGGCATTTCCCATTGGGTTTTAAAGTGCACTGCAACAGGTTTCTGCAGGCCGCTCCACCTACCCAGCTGCCGACTCCTGCAGTCCTGTCTGCCCTACATCTAGACTGCGGACTACTGCCTGGTCTCTTTGGGGAGGTTTCCTAGATACCTGGGGTTTCTCCAAATACACACAAGCCCAGGGGTCCTCTTCATTTGTCTCCCTAAATCAAAGTCAGTTATCAGTATTTTCCAAGTGTCATGTGACTTATAACTTTATCTTCAGAAGGCTTGAGAAATAGAAACTGAGTATTATCTAGGCCATGTGTAAACAGACATCTTGTCTGTGCATCTAAAGTTAAATCCATTATGCAATGGTTAAGAGGCTATCATGGAGACACAGAAGGGGGTTTAGAAAGCTGTGGCATCAGCAAAGAGGCCATTCTCGGTGATACTCCCAAGTCACTGCAATTTTTCTCAATTTAGCCCAAAATAATGTAGCATATTTATTGGCAAGACAGCACTGCTCACCAGAAATAAAGGGAAGCATGTTGGATCAGCTGAACAGGGAGATTAAGACAATTTCCATCCCTTGCTGATGTCTAGAAAGGCCCCCTCCTTCCTGAGACCCACAAATAGGAGGTTTGCTTCCAAAACAAAGATTTAAAAACCAGCAATTCCCTCCTAATCACATACAAAGTCATGCCACAGTCTGGTAAGGGCAGATACTACATGTAGCTCAATGCCAGTCCCTGATCCAGATTTCTAGAACGGCCATTAAAGCCTTAAACACAGACTGGGAAATGGTAGCTGGGCTGCCTAAGTATGTATGTGTGAGATTATTTTTTTATTTTATATATTTTTCACATTTTTCATTTTTGTACAGTGTATGCATTTTCATCTTGGTTATCATCCCCATAAAATTCCCACCCCCCGTTTTGATTCTACTCCCTTCTCCCCTCTGTAACATGCCTCTTGTTTACAGTTGCTTGTTGATTTTGGTTTTTCTTTATTATAATTAGTCTTTTTCCTGGTCCCTTATTTAGGTTTTCTAAATTCCTGCTATGAGCGAGACCATCTGGTAATTTTCTTTTTTCTTTCTGGCTTATTTCACTGAGCATGATCCCTTCCAGCTCCATCCATGTTGCTGTAAATGGCATGAGTTTATCTTTTTTGATTGCTGAGTAATATTCCATTGTGTATATGTACCACATCTTCTTGATCCAGTCATCTATTTTTGGGCATTTGGGTTGCTTCCATAGCTTACCTATTGTAAATAGTGCTGCAATCAACATAAGGGTGCAGGTGTCCTTTTGAATTAATGTTTTTGTGTCCTTTGGATAAATACCTAGGAGTGGGATTGCTGGATCATATGGAAGCTCCATTTTTAGCAGACTGAGGAACCCCCACACAGCTTTCGATAGTGATTGGACCAGTTTGCACTCCCACCAACAGTGCAGGAGAGTTCCTTTTTCTCCACATCCTTGCCAGCATTTGTTGTTGCTAGTTTTTTTAATATGTGCCCTTTTCATGTGAGATTTTTTTTTAATGAGCTTTAGTTGGCAATATACATAGATACCTGTTTCTGGACTCTGAAAAAAGTTAGAAAATCTGTTCCTCCATGGCAACAACCATTGCCCTCTTTAGGAAGTGAGTGTGCCCCACCACAGCCTTCACCCCACCTGTCATCTGCCAGCCTGGCTGCTCAAAACCCCGCTCACAGCTCCACAATCACGAGTGTGGAGGGGCCGTGTGGCAGCTGGAGAGAACCCCACACTCCCTCGATGTCACCCAACCCACTCGTTACAACCACAGGAACCTTCCTGATCCATCAAGAGCTTTATTGTTGGTGAAAGCACTTGCTGATCTCAGATTCAGGGCTTTACTTCTTGTCCAGTTGCTGGCCCAGTCTGCCTGGGCAGGGCACTCCCGCTCTTAGCTTTCCCATAGTGTGTGTGGCCAAACAGACTGCAGTCTCCAGTGAAAGTCCCAAGGCAACCAACTTCCTTCGCCATGCCACATCTGGCGCTGCTGGAGTCTGTCCCAAGTCAGAAGTGAGGAGAGTTCATAGAACAAACTGAAGAATTCAGGGGCCCAACTGCCCCCAAAGACTTCACTGTGCCCCCAGGTATGTTGCTTCACTGTCCCCCTCTGGATCCTGACTTGGTATGTCCAAGCCCAGGCGGCTCAGGGAGCGTACAAAGAACCTAGGAAGCTTGCAAGTCAAGTTCAGCTCCTCCTTCCGGGAGCCCAGGGCAGGCAGGATGAGCTGGCGAGCATGCAGGTGCAGGGGGATGTGGCGAGCCTTGGACTGCTGCAGCCCCAGCTTCTTCAGGGTGCCTGTGGGCAGCTTCTGCACAGAGAAAGAGAGTCCGTGAGAGCAAGTCCAGGGAAGGGCCCTGACTAGGCTCCCGGTCAGAAGGCTTCCACTCAAAGGCTAACGGGGAGCCAGCACCCACTCCTGGAAATCCCAGCACAGGCACAGCCTATTTTACTGCACTTAGCTTTGCAGATACCCAGGGGTTTTGTTTTGGTTAATTTTACAAATTGAAGTTTTGTGGCAACTGAGTGGAACAAGTCTATTGCTATCATGTTTTCAATAGCATGTGCTCCCTTTATGTGTTGGTGCCACATTTTGGTAATTCTTGCAATAGCTCAGACTTTCCCATTATCATTCTATCTGTGAGGGTGTCTGTGATCTTTGATGTTACTGCTGTAGTTGCCTGAGGGCACCATGAACCACAATAGGTAACACTGTGAACTTGACTGTAAATGCTATGTGCATTCTGACTGCATCACTGGCCAGCTGTGAAGCAGCTCCCCCACCTCTGGTCCTCCTATTCTCGGAGACACAACAATGTTGAAGTGAGGCCCATTAATAACCCTACAATGGCCTCTCAGTGTTCAAGTGAAAGGAAGAATCACACGTATCTCGCTTGAAATCAGAAGCTAGAAATTATGAAGCTTAGTGAGGAAGGCATGTTGAAAAACTAGACAGGCTGAAAGCTAGCCTGCATGTGCCAGTTAGCTGAGTTGCAAATGCAAAGGATAAGTTCTTTGCTGCTCCAGTGAACACATAAATGATAAGAAAGCAAAATAGCCTTACTGTTGATATGAGGGAAGTTTTAGTGGTCTGGAGAGATCAAAGCAGTTACAATATTCCCCTAAACCAAAATCTAATCCAGAGCAAGACCTCGTTCTTTTCAATTCTATGAAGGCTAAGAAGGTGAGGAAGCCACAGAAGGAAAGTCTGAAGCCAGCAGAGGTTGGTTCATGAGGTTTAAGAAAAGAAACTGTCTCTGTAACAAAAATACAAGCTGAAGCAGCAAGTGCTGATGTAGAAGCTGCAGCAAGTTACTCAGAAGACCTAGCTAAGGTCATTGATGAAGGTGGCTATACTAAACAGACTTTCAGTGTAAACAAAAACAGGCTTTGACTGGAACAAGATGCATCTAGGATGTTCACAGCTAGAAAGAAGTCAATGCTTGGCTTTAAAGTTTCAAAGGACAGGATGACTTGTTAGGGGTTAATACACCTGGTGATTTTAAGATGAGCTAAGGCTCATTTACCATTCTGAAAATCCTAGGGCACTTGAGAATGATGTTAAATCTACTCTGTACAACAACAAAATCTGTAGACCAAACATCTATTTACAACATGATTTACTATATATTTTAAGCCCACTGTTTAAGCCTATTGCTCAGAAAAAAAAGATTCCTTTCAAAGATTACTGCTCACTGACAATGCACATGGTCCCCCAAGAACTCTGATGGAGACAGACAGGGAGAGTCACATGGTTTTCGTGCCTGCTAACGCAACATCCATCCTGCAGCTTATGAAAAAAGGAGTGATTGTTTCAAACCTTTAAAAAACATATTTCTCCAGGTCAGAGCTCCTGTGATTTCTCTGACGGATCTGGGCAAAGTAAATAAGTAACCTTTTGGAGTGGATTCATCATTGCAGATGCCATTAAAAACTTGTGACTTGGGGACTCCCTAGCGGCCTAGGGGTTAAGTCTCAGCACTATCACTGCTGCAGCCTAAGTGTGATCCCTGGGCAGGGAGCTACTCATATATGGCAAAACAGACCTCTCTTGTCTCACCCACTGCTTCCCTTAGCAGTGTATTTCATTAGATCTGCCTTTTCTGCTCCCCATTCTGTCTTTGGTGAATCCTCTCACCCCCTAAACCTCCAGCCTACACCCTAGTTCTTCTATGCATAATAAATTAAAAAAAAAATCTGTGGGCCTCTCCTGGTGGCGCAGGCAGTTGAGCACAGCGCTGTGACTCATAGGAGGTGATCAAAATATCAACATTATAGAAGTTTAGTAGAAGCCTCATAGATGATTTGAGAGGTGAAGACTTAGTGAAGGGAGTACGTGCAGATGTGGTGGGAGGAGCAAGAGAACTAGAATTAGAGGTGAAAGTTGAAGATGTGACCGAATTGCTGCAATCTCTTGATAAACTTGGATGGATGAGAAATTTTCTTATGGGTAAGCAAAGAAAGTGCTTTCTTGAGATGGGATCTACTGGTGAAGATACTGTGAACATTGTTGAAATACAACAAAAGATTTAGAATGTGAAATAAATGTGGTTAATAAAGCAAGGCAGGGTTTATGAATATTGACTCCAATGTTGAAAGAAGCTCAGCTGTTACTAAACAGCATCACATGCTCCAGAGAAATCTTTTATGAAAGAAAGAATCAACTGATGCAGCAAGCTTCACTATTCTCTTATTTGAAGAAGTGGCCACCCCAGTCCTCAGCAACTCCCAACCCGATTAGTCAGCAGCCATCAGCATCTAGCCATCAGCCTTCCACCAGCAAAAAAACAATTCACTTAAGCTTCAGATGAGGGTTAGCATTTTTATGCAATTAAGGTATTTTTTAATTAAGGCAGATTTGAGACATAATGTATTGCACACTTAAGACTACAGTATAGGGGCCTCCCTGGTGGTGCAAGGGGTTAACCACTGCACTATGAAGCAATCCACAGCACGAGTTCGATCCCTGGCCAGCCAGGGAGAAACCCACATGGTGAGGCAGACTTCTCCTGTCTCCCCCGCTGCTGCCCTCAGCAGTGTATTTCAGTCAATCTGCCTACTCTGTTCCCCACTTTGTCTTTGGTGGATCCTCTCACCCCCCTGCATCTCTGGCCTGTGCCTCAGCTCTTGTATGCATAAATAAATAAATCTTTAGAAAAAGAAAAGAGACTACGGTATAGTAGAAAAATAACTTATATGTAATGGAAAACCAAAATTTATGCCTAAGTCTCTTTATTGCAATATTTGCTTTAGGGCAGTAGTCTGGAGCAGACCTGCAATATCTCTGAGGCAGGCCTAGAAGAGCGAGCTGGCTTCAGGGGCTTTTCTAGGAAGGATTCAGAACCCAGGCAGGAGAAAAACCACATCAGAGAGGCAATAGCTGGTGATTTATTGGAATTCCCAGAGAATGGGCTACATCAAAAGTCAAAGCAATTTCTGCCAGGGTTCTTTGGTAGTAGCACCAAGGCTGCTTCAAGTTTTTAGAGTCTCCACCCCTACTAAAGAGGAAAGTTTTACTTATAGATCCTGCAGTTTCATGAGCACAGTAGCTAACCACCCAAGAACTTCCTATACATTACACAACCAGGACGGTACTGTGTCTGAAGACAATCAACACATTATTTGTGTGACTCACTTCAGGGTTTTAATAAGGGGAAAGCGAAGTCCTCTACCTTATTCTGTTGCATATTGGTTCACACCAATATTACCTGGGGGGCCAGTCTATTCCAGTCTGAGTACTTGTGATCACCAAGGATTGGGCAATCCAACCCAAAAGACAGATGAACTCGAAGCTGATGTTTTACTCCTTAAAAAAAAAAAAAAGGAGAAAACTTATGAGAAACAATGCCATCGGCAACACTGCTTCTAATCATATTAAATCAAAGCTCAGTAAAACTGGCAGAGCCGGGCCTCCCTCATGGCACAAGGGGTTAAGACGCAACCTATGAAGTTTTCCGTAGCCATTGCAAGCACAAGTTCAATCCCTGGCCAGGGAGCAACCCACATGGCACAGCAGACCTCTCCTGACTTGCCCACTGCTCCCCTCAGCAGTGTATTTCAGTCAATCTGCCTGTTCTGCTCCCCACTGTGTCTCTGGTGAATCCTCTCACCCCCCACACCTCTGGCCTGTACCCCAGTTCTTGTATGCATAAATAAATAAATCTTAAAAAAAAAATTGGCAGAGCCCCCAAAGCAGTAAGGTATAAAGGATATCAGCACAAACTATAAGCTATGCAGCACCAACAGCTCAGGAAATCAACAGTACAGATACTGTTTTGTCTCTGAGTCCCCTCCTGGGCCCATCAACCTGGGCTCTATAGTCAGCATGCTTTTAATAATTTAACGATAACACTAAATAGTACTGCCTTGCACATTTACTTTTTATTGTGGTAAAACATATAACATATAAACATAAAACATATAACATAACATATAACATTTTAAACACTTTTAAGTGTACCATTTAGGGGCATAAAGTACATTCAATGTGTACCACTGATGTGACCATGGCATTCAGTCCCAGAAATTTTTCATCTCCCAGGCTGAAACTCTCAAACACTAACTCCCTCCAACTCTTACTAACCACTTTTCCCCTTTGTCTTCATGAATTTGAGTTCCAGGAAACTCACATAAAAGGAATCATACATTTGCCTTCTGTTGCCAACAATGGCATATTTCACTCAGCTATTTTCAAGGGCTGTTTATGTTGCGTGTGTGTTAGAATTTCCTTCTTTTTTTAAGGCTGAATAATATTCCATTGTAAGTACATACAGCATTTTGTTTATCCATTCATCTGTCGAACAGCTGAGTCACTTTCACCTTTAGGCTACCGTGAATAATGCTGCAATGAACACTGGTGCATAAACATCTTTTTGAGTGCCTACTTTCAGTTTTTTGGGTATATGCCCAGAAATAGTTTGCTAGATTTTATGGTAATTCTACTTTAATTTCTTGAGGAAGTGCTTTGCACATTCTTAAATAAATGTGATCAAACTACTTATATTCTTCTGCTACCCACTGTTTTTACCAGTTGTCCCACCCTCAGATTAGCACCAGAGGTACACTCTCAAGTCAGTCACAATCCCAGCCTCTCCCGCTAATACTGATGGGTCAGAACAAGAGCAGAGCCCAGTCTGAGGCCCTGGACAAAGCTCATCAGCAATGGGTTGCCATCCCACTGTGGAATGGGGACTCTCACCAGTAATAGGCTGGAGTTCCAGAAGGGCAGAAGAGATGGTGCTGCTTAGCACCTGGTACTGAGTCACAGCCACATGCGAGTTCCGGCTGGTCCGCATCCTCACCATTTTCCCATTGTCCATGCGGTAGCTTGGGGCGAGCGTCATCTGAAGCCAAAGAAATCAAGACATGATTCCAAGGAAGAACAGACGTCCCAGCCCTCAGAGAGGCTGCTCACTCACCTTGTGGTGTTGCTGCTGGCCTTGCACCTCCTTCTCGATGATGGGGATATCCACGACTCCCGCAGGGGGTACCGGTACATGCACGGTGATGGCCCTAGGGGTGACACATACCCTTGCTTAAGCTACAGGTGAATGAGGTGCTCCTTGGATCAGCTACTTAGAGGTTTAACACCAGACCTTCTGCACTAATGTGTTAGTCCTAAAGATCAAAGTATCCCATGCAATCTCTTGGTATAGTGTTTAGCCTGGGAACTTGATATTATTCTTACAAACATATCTTTTTTACTACCAAAGTAATACATGTTAACTGTAGAATATCTGGGAGAAAAAAAAAACAACAGGAAAACAAAATATTCTATTAATAACATGGTATTTTATTCTAGTCTTCAAAAATAATTATGTATAGTTTAAAATAAAAATTAGGACAATATGGTTCCACATTTTGGTTATCTTTCTTAAATAATAGAAAAATGGTGAAATTCTGACTGCATATGACATGAAGAAATAGAGGAATGAACGAATCGAATGGAGCACTCCTGCCCTCTCTGCCAGGGAGGTAAAACAGGGAGGAACTGTGCTCAGGAATTACAACCGCAAGTCAGTAACTCTTTCTGAATCCCTTTTGCTGGAGTTTCCTGTCATCACACCACAGACAGGTAGAAGACTGTATCGATCTATCCTTACATTTATACCTTTCCAGGTCAATCATGGAGAAGTCCTCCTGATGACCTATCACAGAATCACTGATCATGGGATCAAAAGTCCCTCAGATATAACACTTCCCACCCTGGACAGCCCACTTCAGGCTGGTAGAAAGGGGCACATTTAGCCTGAGGGGTAACTACTGGGACACCTTTCCTAATGCCATCATCCTACTGCTCTAGAAGTCCAGTCAGTAAATATTTACTGGATGTAAACAAGCACTGATTTAGGGAGGTGCTAAAAATATATAGACATACAAAACAAAAATTTCTATTCTAGAGCAACTCAGAGTCTAGTAAGAAGACTCAAATAACTATAATAAAATAAGTCGCTATCATGGTAAGTTAGCAAATGCTAATCAGTCGCATATTATGTTCTACTACTTCTTCCTGGGATGAAAGATCATCATAACTAGGCTCCAGTCTATTAGCTGCCACCATTGCCCCCTTCACATGGGACCGCCTGTGCTATTCCTTATGCACACTACTCCCACCATCTGGAACACACTTCTTCTGTCTTTCCATCTTAATCATTCATCCCAATTAACTGATTTCAACTATTCTGAAGTCTGATCCTGAAAATGGTTACCAATTCAGACAATTTTCATAAATAATACACTGTTTTAAATAAACTTACATTTTGATTACTTGTATACCTAATAATTTTGATTTTCCTATCTTTCAGCTTTTGTTATGACTTAGTACTGTGTTAAACACTTCACATGCAATGCTTCACGTAGCTGTTTCATAAGCCTACTCTTCCTACTTCTCATTTGAAGACAACAAAGCTTAGAAAAGTTTAGTAACTGGCCTCAGAGCCCACACTGCTGAATGACACAGCTGAAAGATGAACACAGATCTTTTTAAGCTCTTAGCCACTATGCTAAACTTCATCCATTATCCCTGATCTTTTATAATATTGTTCTTAAGTGTGATTCCACATCAAAGTCATTTGTGGAGCTTTTTAAAGACATAGATGCCCAATCCTCACACCCACCTAACTTATGAATCAGAAGCTGTGGGTGGGTCTCAAGCACACAGATTTTTAAATGCTCCCTAGATCAAAAAGTATCTGAAAATCTGTAATACAAAAGGACCAACATCCAAAATATAAAAAGAATACTTATAAAACAAGTAGAAATGAATAAACAACCCAACTGAAAAATAACAGCCCAAGAAACACTGTTTACAGAAAGGGAAATTCAAATAGACAACATATATAAAAAGAAAGCCAACATCGCTAGTATACAGGGAACTGGAAAGTAAAATCTGTCTTTTTTTTAAAAAAACTATCAGAGTTGAAAACCTTTTAAAAAATGCAATGGCCAGTTATAAGGGGACTTGAATACTCATCACTGCTAGTGAAAGTAAAAATGGACCATCACGGGGCCTCCCCAGTGGCACAGCGGTTGAGCACTGGGTTGCAAAGCTGCCCGCAGCCTCTGCTGCGCTGGTTCGATCCCCGGATGCTCCCCGGCCACCAGAGGAGGGTCCCACATGGCGCGCAGACCTCTCCTGCTGTCCGCTGCTCCCCTCAGCAGTGTACTTCGGTCCTTCTGCCTGCTCTGCTCCCTGCTCTGGCTCTGGTGAATTCTCTCACTCTCCTGTGCTTCTGACTGTACCCAGTGCTTGTATAAATAAATAAACAAATAAATCTTTAAAAAAAAAATAAATGGACCGTCACTTGGGAGAGCAATATGGGTGGTAACTATTAAAATTTTAAATATGTGTACCCTTTGATCCAGAAATTCCATTTCTAGCAATTTGTCCTAAAGATAGACTCACATATTGTTTGCAATAGGTTCTGAAAAATGGGACCATATCTAAATACCCACCAATAAGGAAATTACCATACATCTATAACATGGAATACTACATAGCCATTAGAAATAGCTCTAACTGTACAACTCACAATGCTCTCCAAGGTTTACTGTCCAAGTGGGGGAAAAAATGCGAAATATGCTGCCATATGATAATATGCTTAAAAAAGCCCAGTATACAACTCTGGAAGTTTACACGAGATGCTAGTAATAATGATTTGCTTTGGGAAAGGAAATTGAATATACGACAACAGGAGTGGTTTCATTTTTGCTCATATATCTTTTTTCCATTCAAAAACTTAGGGCCTGGGCTTCCCCTGGTGGCACAGGTGGTTGAGCGCAGCACTATGAAGCTGTCCACAGCCTCTGCAGTGCTGGTTCAATCCCGGCCAGCCGGCGAGGGTCCTAAATGGTGCAGCAGACCTCTCCTGTCTCGCCCGCTGCTCCCCTTAGCAGTGCGTTTCGTCAGTCTGCCTGTTCTGCTCCCCGCTCTGTCTCTGATGAATCCTCTCACCCTCCCGTGCATCTGGCCTGTACCCCGGTTCTTGTATAAATAAATAAATAAATCTTAAAAAACAAACAAACAAAAACCAAAAAACTTAGGGCCTCCCTGGTGGTGCAGGGGTTGAGTCTCAGTGCTATCAAACTGTCACCAGCCACTGTGACCTGAGTTTGATCCCTAGCCAGGGAGCTGACCCACATGACACTCTCCTGTCTTGCCTGCTGCTCCTCTCAGCAGCGTATTTCAGTAGAGCCACCTATTCTGCTTCCCACTCTGTCTCTGGTGAATCCTCTCACCCCAAAACCTTTGGCCTATATCCCAGTTCTTCTACACAAACTAAATAAATAAAAATCTTACAATAAAGGAATAATTCTTTAAAAAAAAAAAAACTTAGATAATCCTATATGCAGCAACATGGAAAGAGCCCTAAGACATAGAAATAAGGAGTTCAGTGGGAAAAGAAAGTGCAATATACATTGGAAATCTAATAGAGACACACACACACACACACACACACACACACACACAATGTATACTTAACAAGTATGTAAATACACTGAGTACAAAGCAGAGGAATAAAAAACCAAGCAAATAACTGGTTGCTACCCCAAGGGAAAAAACTAGAATAGTAGAGTGGGTGGATTTTCCAAGGGTTTTTTCCTTACCACATACTGAAGTTACCTATTATTTGTATAAATAATTTTTATGTATAGCCATAATTAAGAACAGGTGTTAATCTGTCTTACATTTATGCCTCTTTTGGGTCAATCACAGAAATGTACTACCTGGTACTTCATCACAGAATCCCTATTCTAGTAGACTCCCATATTCTGAGCACTAAATCTGTTTTTTGGGGTTTTTTTTTTAAAGATTTATTTTTATTTATTTATGCATATAAGAACTGGGGTATAGGCCAGAGGTATGGGGCTGAGAGGATTCCCCAGAGACAGAGTGGGGAGCAGAACAGGAGGAATACACTGCTGAGGGGAGCAGCAGGAGAGATAGGAGAGGTCTGCTGTGCCATGTGGGTCAGCTCCCTGGCTAGGGATCAAACTCAGGTCGCAGTGGCTGGTGACAGCTTGATAGCGCTGAGACTCAACCCCTGTGCCATCAGGGAGGCCCAGCAATTAATCTGTTTTATATACTTTTTACATGCCCACACACCCAAGTATAGTGCCTCCCATTAACTGAAGTTCTTGGTATATGAATGGTTGAATAAATGAATGGAATGTCTTTATTTAAACCACTTTATCACTATCATTGGGATTCATACCAGTACTTCTTTGCCACCTGGCGGCTTCTAAACAACTCTTGGACTTGATGCGCCATTTCCTTTTCCCAGGTCAACACCATTACACCTGTAGTTTCTTTGTCCAGTCGGTGGCACAGATGCAGGGGCTCTGCTTTGTGGCCATGAAGGATCTTTGCCAGGATAGGCAGTACATCACTGATGCAGAGCTGGACCCCAGGGCCACCTAAGAAGGGAAAAGCCAGAAGTGTGAGCAGCCAGGAAAAGATCCCATCAAAGAACTTTTCTTGTGATAAAAACTCTTAATGATTAACTATCAATGCTTTCTGTAGTCTAGCAACATCAGTATGTCTATGGAGTTTGCCAGAAATGAATCTCAAACCCTCAATCCATAGCATTAAGTCAAAATCTGCATTTTATTTTATTTTTTAAAAAAGATTTTATTTATTTTATACAAGAACTGGGGTACAGGTCAGAAGCACGGGAGGGTGAGATAATTCAACAGAGCCAGAGCAGGGAGCAGAACAGGCAGACGGACCAAAGACACTGCTGAGGAGAGCAGCGGGCGAGGCAGGAGAGGTCTGCCGCGCCATGTGGGGTTCTCCCTGGCTGGCGGGGAATCGAACCGGTGCTGCAGAGGCTGCGGACAGCTCCACAGTGCAGCGCTCAACTATTGTGCCACCGGGGAGGCCCAAAATCTGCATTTTAATAAGACACCTACGTAACCACATATATAAGGACTGTCTTCTTAGACATTTAGAAAACAAATCTATTTATGTACTCATATTAAAACTGACAATCTAACTATAAGAAAGTGAAAATCAAAATCAACAAAAAACTATGAACCAGAGACACTTTTTGGGGGGTGGGTGGCGGGAGGGGAGGGATTGGGGTCAAAATGGGGGGGTTGCAATTGTATGGGGAATATAAAAATAAAATTTATTATTAAAAAAAACAAAAAAACAAAAATAATAAAACTGACAATCAAAATGAGGAGGTCTGATATTTCACTATATAAAGAAGGGCTTGACAATTTGCCATGTAAACTTTAGTGAGAAATACAAGACCATGAAGCCATGCTGAGGCATCACATAAGAGATAAAAAGATGGGCTCTGAGGTGAGACAGTCCCGGGTTCTACTCTACATTCCCCCCCTCCTTTTTTTTTTTTTTTAAAGATTTATTTATTTATTTATACAAGCACTGGGTACAGTCAGAAGCACAGGAGGGTGAGAGAATTCACCAGAGCCAGAGTGGAGAATAGAACGGGCAGACTGACTAAACACACTGCTGAGGGGAGCAGCAGTGCGGCAGGAGCGGCAGGAGAGGTCTGCGAGCTATGTGGGACCCAGGGGCGGGGGATCAAACCGGAGCTGCAGAGGCTGTGGGCAGCTTCGCAGCCCAGCGCTCAACTGCTGCGCCACCAGGGGAGGCCCTCTACATTCCCTTTGAACTAATCATTTGACATACTGACTTGTTTCAACTTTCAGTTTTTTCATCTATAAAATGTAGATATCTACGGAATAATTATCTCATGGGGAATAAGAAAACAAGAAGCTATTAAAGGATCAAGAGAGAAAAAACACACAAAAGTACTTAGCAATGTCTGACTTAATTCCTTAACTTTATGTACAATCCTCTCCATAACTCACACAAAACATTCCTCTTCTTGCTAAAATATGCCTCCTCAGCAAAAGCCTTTCCATAAATTTTTTCTATCATTCCCGACTCAATCCACCTGTCTCTGAAAACTACATGCAACATTTATTTTATTTATTTTTTAATTTTTTTTTTTAATAGAGGCATGCTTTATTTATTTGTTTGCTGGTTTGTTTGTTTTGTTTATACATGCACTGGGTACAGTCAGAAGCGCGGGAGGGTGAGAGAATTCACCAGAGCCAGAGCGGGGAGCAGAGCAGGCAGAAGGACCAAAGGACACTGCTGAGGGGAGCAGCGGGCGGCAGGAGAGGTCTGCGCGCCATGTGGGACCCTCCTCCGGTGGCCGGGGAGCAGCCGGGGATCGAACCGGCGCCGCAGAGGCCGCGGGTAGCTTCGCAACCCAGCGCTCAACCGCTGCGCCACCGGGGAGGCCCGCAACATTTATTTTAAAACATTTGAGTGTCCATTAAATTCTAGGCAACTGGGAGTTTTGTTAGTTATACACACACAGAGAATACTACAGAGCTGTTAAAAGGGAAATAGTGTGCACACACTTTTTTTCCTTATGTTATTTCCTAGTTCTCAGGTTTTTTTAAATTTATGTATGCATACAAGAAATGGGGTGTAGGCCAGAGGTGCGGGGGTGGAAGGGTTGGGGGGAGGGCCTGAGAGGATTCCCCAGAAACAGAGTGGGAAGCAGAACAGGTGGATCTACTGAAATACACTGCTGAGGGGAGCAGCAGGCGGGGTACATAGTTCTCAGTTTTGATGGCAAAATAACCATCTAGGCTTTGTTATTTCTCTACAGCAATCCTTGTAAAGGTCTGTATACAGTGCATTTCATGAATCACTGTACTGCCAGCTATATGGAAGGTGGGGACTATAATTCATATGTGTTCTCGATAGTACCTTGTATAGGACAATATTCCACAACGGAAGTTTAATTATTTTGAATGCAGGCTTCGGAGAATACCACAGGTAATTGTGCACTTACCTCCAGCTTTAACAGAAAGCAGCACCAGTACTCCCCTTGCACCGCCACAACCCCCCCCAACCTGATCCATACCATGCACAGGGAGACCATAGGGCTTATTGATGACCACAAGGTCCTTATCCTGGTGGACAATCCCTCGGCTCAGCGCCTTAGCAAGCACGTTGGGGTGAACTCGCTGCAGTTGCTGTGTGAACCGCACTAGTTCATGCACTCTCCGCTGAACAGGGTTTGTGGGCACCTACGGGAAGAGGAGCGGCGGGAAATGCCTGGTGAGGAAGAGGTAGGGAAGATCCTCAATAAGTCAGAGCAAGAATTTGAGTAGAGAAAGACTGTTCTTTGTATTAGACTCGCGCCTTCCCGAGTAATTTGAAGGCAGGGGTCCATGTCTGCTTTACCTAAGTAGCTCTGCAGAAGCCAAAACCCAGCCCACAGCTTACTGACCTCTCCCCTCCGCTTTCTCCCACCATTTACTTGATATTTACTCGACATTTACCAGATAGCTGCCGACATCTGTCAACAGACCCTTCCTACCTCACTCCCCACCAGGGAAATCAGAGACAACACAGCCTCTTGGGAGTTGTGGTCCTTCCGGACTCACCGACTCCTTCTTCGACTTTTGTTCCCGTTTCTGGACTCGGAGCCTCTCTGCTAACTGTTGGGCATCCAGGGACCTCGAGGCAGCAGCGACGTTACAAAATGGCTTTGACCCAAGAGCAAAGAGACTCCCTGAACGCTGCCCAGTAGCCCGGACCCAGAGGCCCGGCACCTTACAGCTGGGCGCCGCCATCTTGCGAAGGGGGGGCGGGGCGAGCGCCCACGCGCACAGGGGAGCCGCGAGGGAGGCGGGAATGGGCGTGTTCTTCAGTCACGTGGGGGGCGGACTCTGGGCCGAGTCACGTGGGGCCGTGCGCGCTCAGTGCGGCTGCGCCGGCCGGTAGCTGCAGCTGGAGCGGTGGCGTTTGGTGGAGACGCGGTGAGTGTGTCGGGAAGCCGGGACGGGGCTGGAAGATGCCGGTGTTTCCAAGCGTTAAGGTTTTCGGCTCCCCAAGATTCACGTTCTCGAAGACCCCTGCCCTGGGGAACCGTTTCTCCCTTTGGGAGAGGATCCCACTCAAAAACACCTCCCCGCCCCCGCGCCCCCTTGGAAGCGATGCCCGGTAAACGCTCGCCCCACAGCCTTCTAGGGCGCCCCCTCGGCCCCCTGGGAATCACATCCCGGGGGTGAGGTCAGTCCCGGAGGGACGCCTCAGATCCCCTTTCATTTCCTCACTTCACGACCTGCGGAGATGCCCGGATCTCTTGAATCCTCTCCACTTATCTCCCAACTCCCAGCCTCTTTGTTTCGCGCTGTCCTCCCCCGGGGATGCTGTGCAAGCCCTCCCGTTACCCAGGCCCCCCATCCCGGGAACATCTACCTTCCTACCCCGGGAACATCTTGGGTTGCTTTTGCCCTTCCTCCAGAATTCGTTTCTTGGCGTCTTCTCTCCCCAACTCTCCCTACTTCCAAAGAAAAGCCTGAAAGTACGCAGCACGGTGCTTGCCTTTCGCCCTTCTGCTGCCTTCATTTTCCGATCCATAGTTTGCAGGCGCTCCACACCCGCTCTCCCTCTCTGAAAAGGTACAGCGTTGGGACGCCCGGCCCCAAACTGCAGGCGATACCCTCTGGTTTCGCTAAGGGTGGCTCGGAAGATAAACATCTGGTTCAGGATGTCGTGGGGCATACCTGCCGTTTGGAAGGAAACTGCTAATGCCGAGTTCTGAAAATGAGTAGGACCGTATTGGCGGTAGAGGAAAAGCATGTTTTTAGAGACTGCTTAGAATAACGGCTGCCTCGAGGAGTGGAGTAGGCAGTGGAATTAGGTTTGCGTCCTCCCCCCTCCAAAAGGGATTGGCAGAAGGGAGCCATGTTGAACGTGAAATAAAAGTTGAACAGGTAAGTGAGGCTAGCCTATGGAAAACTTTAAGTTGAAGAAGTGTTTGAACTCGAGTGATAAATGGTGAGGAGGCTTTGAAGCTTCCCGAGGAGGGGTGAGTTTCCTTGAAAGCGGACTTCTGGAGAGGAATCTGGCAATTGAAGGCCGGAGAAACTTAAAAGCAGAGGGCTTTGCGGGGGTATCAGCTAGGATGCTGCAATCTGTCTGGTCAGTAATGAGGTTATACCTGATTCAGTTGTCTTTTTTCCTTACACTGTAGTATACTTTCAGTTTGAATTGGTTTTGATTTGTACAAGTCAGGATGTACCGTTAGCACCTGCTCCTAAACTGTGAGTCCTCTAAGGACTTGTCTTTTTTTTTTATCCCACATCTGGCACAGTAATGGCACATATATTCATTCGAGGTTGAAGTGCATCATAGACATGTGTTAAATTTCTTATTTCTATCAGTTTTTGACCTCAACAATAGAGGTAGGATAATAATGTATTTGTAAGGAGTGGGAAAGAAGACTTGTGTATGTTTCTGTAATGAGTCGGATGTGGAGAACTCCTAGGGGTTTGAGAAATAACTCCCCTCTCTCCTGTTTTTCCTCCCTGCACATTTACTGTCAAAACATAGCTCTATAGAGGTTGAGAAATTCCACCTTAAAAGAATTATTACCTTTTGCTCGTATGCGCCTGACCCAGATTCTAATTTCACCAGTTAAGTAGTTGCATACCACATGTTACCTAGGTACATGACGCCTCCCTTTTCAAGGATGCTAAAATTTGTACACCAGGACTTAAATTCATATTGCTACCCTAATTACAAGCTTGTTTAGGGTATGGGGCTTTTATGATTTTGTGTGAGGGCTGGGAAATCCTGTTTCTGCCTTAACCTATCCTTGATAACATTCAGGAAATGACACCTATTCTGACCAGACTTAGCCCTGTAGGGCAGGAAATAAAATGAAGAAGCAACTCAGGTGTTTTTGCTAGTGACACAGAGCTTGCGTTCTTAGGTTTCAGGTTAAGCCAAGGTACGTACCATGGTGCTCAAGAATAAAAAAACACATCACTTTTTTCCTGGAAAATGGTCTTTTAAGTTTTTCTGTTGAAGCTTTGTAAGAGAAATTTGAAGAATTCAGAGTTTTTGTTTGTTTACTGGGTATCACAGTACAACTTTTCCCAATGTGGGTACCGAAGTTAACGGCTCCCTTAATGTTTCCCCTATGTGCAGGCACTAGGTGACTTAAGAGTTGGTCTCTGAGTATACAGGAATGTATTCAAATATGATGTGTGTGTTTTCTTTTTAATGTTATGTTGCCTTTCCCCATCATCAACCCAGTGGGTCCTAGTATAGGCTGTTCATTTTTCCATGTCTGCACCACGCTCATATCCTCTTCGCTCGACTGTTTTCTGAGTACAGAGAAGAAAATTCTGTTAGTGAGTTCTATAACCATATAAAGAAGAGCTTGATAATTACTTTTTAAAGGATAAGTTCCTAATGCAAGAGCAACAACGCTGCCTTTTTATTTCACATAGATATTCAAGGATTGACTTGAATAATTAGTATAAACATCACGAATTTAAGGTTAATTAGTGGCATAAAGTTAAGTTCTGAATCTGCAAACAGTGCTTTGCTAGTTGCAGACTAACCAGCAAATCAATTTCCCTAAAGAACAGGTGGTACTTGAACATTTTTTTTTTTTTTTTATGGTTTTAAAGAGATTCAGAGAAGCAATTAGCAGGAGCTCTCTGGAGGTGCCCTAGAAAGGCCAGTTGTTGGGAGCCTGAAGATCTGGGGACTAGTTCCAGTTCAGCTGCTTGTGAACTTGAGCAAGTAATTTGGGCTTTGGTTTTCTGTCTTTTTAAAGGTCCTTAAGCTTCTGTTCTTTGAAGATTTTCCATTGACACTTAAGTTCATAACGATTTATTTCAGACTTATGGTGAATACATTTAGCATTTGCACGGAGAACCAGCGTTCTGCTCTTGTCCCCAATATTTAACCTTATGCCACTGAACTAACTTCCTATTTGAAGGTACTTCATTGAGTGATGCTGGAATATATCTTAAGATTTCCCAAGTGGGATGCGTGAGAGACTGCAGGTAGAAAAAAATACTGGAAAATGATTATATGAACATTGCTATTCTTTATCTTACACCAGCATTTTAAGGAGATTCCATTATACTGTTGCCCCTCACACTTTATTCAAGTTTGGAGTAATGACCAAGACTGGTCTAACTTAAACCAGTACTTCCAAAACTTTTTTTCCTATCATGTGGGAGTAATTCTATCACTGAGGAAGACAGGTGGTGCCCCAAAGAAGATGACTGAACTGGAGTTTTGGCTGTCCCCAGTCCCCCGCTTCCATACCACAGGCAGTGGGGAGCCCTTATCTTGTGGTCCATCTGACCATTAAGAAGGTCAGCATTACACATTCAAGGTGTCTGCCCCAAATACAGCCTATCAGGAGGAACTGTGTCATTAATTAATTTTGCTAAATCTGCCTCTGATTTGTTTCTCCCTTAGAGGTCTTTATGCTTTTAGTTAGTTTATATTTAAAGGCCATACTTGTCCTTACAGTGTGACCTTTCTAGAAGGTAACTGATAAGGAGATGGGGGATGCTTCTGTCATGATGGTTTGACCTCATTAGATGATGGGCAGTCACTGCCTGTTTAGAGAAGATAGAAAATTTCTTTATATAGCTTATTTTATGTTTTCCATTGTACAAGTAATACAGAAAATGTGAAAATTGCAGAAGCAGAGTGTGAGAAAATCATTGATAGTTCTGTTTGCCAGAGACTATTAATATCACCTTTTTTCCCTCTTCCTTTTTTATCATGCTTTTTTTCCCTTAATTGTAAATTTCGAACATTTATATAAGTAGAGAAAATACTCTAATGGTCTTATCAGTTTCTACAACCAGCCAATACAGGGCCAGCCTTGTTCTACACCCCATCCTTACCTCCCAGATAATTTTGAATCAAATCCCAGACATAACTTCGTCTGTAAACACCTCAGTATATATCTGTAAAAGATAAGGACTTGTTTTTAACATAACCACAATACTATTATCACAAAAAATTCCTTAATACCACCAAGCAACCAGTGAGTGCACATATTTTCATGGCCTCATGTTATTTAAACAGTTAATTTGTTTGAATTAAGAGACAAAAAGGTCCATGTATAATGCATGCAACTTTTAATTAGAAGAATAAAGCCAAATAGACATTCCAAGGAGAAGGGTGCCTTAAGGATGCTTATAGCTCACTGCTTAAGACCTTGCACTTTGGAGTCAGTCAGCCTGCCTTCAGATTCCCCCTCTGCCTCTTGCTCAGTCTGTAACCTTGTGCATGTTACTAAACCTCCCTCACTTTAGTTTCCTTATCCTGTCATTATGGATAATATTTAAGACTTGTTGTGAGGATCAAATGAGTCAATTCAGGTTAAAGCACTCTTGTACAGCCTTAGCACATAGTTGCTGCCCAATAAATATTAGCTAAGTCCAGCACATAGTATAGCACCAGCTGCATACATTGATTGAATATCTTAAATAGAGTAAGAATCTGGAACTAGGAAATTTAGCCTAATCGGTCACATAGGTGATTCACTTTAAAGTTTTGCATTTTAAGTTTCTCATCCAAGAAAGGGTGAGGAGTGAATAACTCAATGATGTCTCAAATTCTAACATTTGCAGAAGAAAGTGAGACCGCTTGGTATTTTAGAAAGAGCATGAGCTTGGAAAACAGACTTGAATTTGCATCAAACTTTGTCATTTACAAGCATTTAATCTCCTAAACCTCAGTTATTCCATTATACATGTGGTGAGATTAATAATATCTTCTTAATAAGATTGTTGTGATGAGCAAGGAGCTAAATAGAGCTGGTGTCTAGCGTGTAGTAGATATTCAAATTATTAGTAACATTTCATGATTGTAAGATCAAATAAGAACATTACATTTGAGTATTTTCCAAACAGTAGAGAGCTGTGTATTTTATTTGCATTTATATAAATAAAGATGATCAAGTTACTTCATGGGATAAGGAATAGATACTGCAAGGGAAGTGGAGCATGCAAGCCATGTTTCCAGAACATGAATAATGGAAAATTGAAAGACCATGTGGTTGAATGAAAGCCAGAGGATATCAGGATCTATAGAGAAATTCAAGAAGGTATTTGCCACAGGTAGTTTTTTAAGTTGAATAGACTTATTTTCTGCCTTTTGGGGGAAATTTGAGCAATAGGTTAAAGATGTTGATTGTCATTTGTGCGTGTAGCGTTTGTTCTAATGATAGCTATACAATGAAAACAACCTCTCCAGCTGTCATGAGGCAGCTGCACTGTTGTTAATTGATTTAGAAAATCAAATCCATGCCAAGTTTACTGACCCCTAATAGTAGTCAGCCTTTCCCCAACTTGCATGAGGATAAGAATCACTGAGCTACCTTTAAAACTACAGATAATTCCTCCATAAATGTTGAGGTAGGGCCCAGGAATCAATTTCCCTCCCTCCTTCCTGCCCAACAAGCACCCAAGGGCCCTGGCTAAAAGTTCTTTCTTTTATGGATATAACAGATAAAAGATAAGTTTACTAAAAAATGTAAAGAGAAAAATTTTTAATTTTTATGTTGTTCCTTTTTTTTTCTTTTTATTTTTATACCAAAGTAATTCATGTTCGAGTAGTCTTAATACCTTAAACCTGAAATCCTTATTTTGTCTGCAAAAATCACATTTCTATCCCTCACTGAAATGATTGCTGGCATATCTGAAAAACAATAGTCTGAAATATACTGTGCACACATTTTCACATTTCTCTCATTTGAAAAATAAAATGTTTTTTATGGTCCTTGCTGCATCAAGACAACTAATGGGTTGTTTTGTTTACTTTAATTTTTAAAAGATTATTTATTTTAACATTTATCATTTTTACATTTTTTAGATTATATTTGCTTCCCCCATCCCCTTAATTTATTTTTAATGATTTGCAATGAAGTAGCATTGCCTTAATAAGTTGT